GGTCTCCAAGAGAAACTTGAGATAAAGAGGCATCTTCGAACTCGGTGTACGTCGATGGTGCGAAAGTCGATAAGGGCATCTCTGCGGCTGTAATAGCGCCGTCATTGGCAAGATCGGCCATCGAATTGGCTGGTTCCATACAGTTTAACGTTGCTGCATCTGATAGCGTTGCAGACGAGGGCGACGTTATCGGATTGAGCGACGTTGTAGCCTCTGTTGTAAGAGAAGGCTGTGTTGGTGGACAGTCGTCCTCACCCGTGTCGTAAACAGAATCCACTACCAGCTCCATTTCCTCCATCAGCTTCACCGTGTCGTGATAATCGGCGATGTCCACATCGAAATTCGCCTCCTCTGCACAAGTGTCTCTGTGACTTTCATCCGTAGACGTACCGGTACGGTGCACCGATTTCTCCACGAGATCTTGCCATTTATTTAGGGCTTTGTAGAACTCAGCGCTAGATAAACTTTGTAAATGATTTAACAGAGGCTCAAACATGCTTTTTGCCATGACATACTTCTCCTCAGAAGACAGAACTACGACATTTCCGCTTTCCCGGCGTCGAAGAAGGACGTAGGCTACTCGAGACTTGGAAGCTGGTTTGGATCTGATGGCGTTAACGTCGCTATTGATTGGGCGAAGGTCACAGGACGCCCCGTTGAGTTTTTTGCGGAGGAAACGGATTCGTCGGGTAAGCCATCAGCTGAACCAAAGTAGATGTTAGTCTATCTAGCCTCTGGGGTCAGTGCGGTTTTTGATACAGTGTGCCTGCGCTCGAAATTCTACCACAAAAACCCTATGCAGGGAATCTACTTTGAGGAAGTGGTAGGGTATGTTGCGGATCGTGCGTGGCTGAATGATGCCGTGTTGAACTACGCTTTAGACGTCATCACATGCAACCAGATTGGCGCTCACGCACTGTCGTCTATTGTGGTCGGTAGCGAGAAGTTTCCGTCTCCACCGCGATCAAAGCTCTTCTCGATGAAATTTATTGTTCTGCCCATCAACATCGAGAAATGCCACTGGACGCTCATATTGGTAGCGGTGCATAGACATGGTGCGATGACAGTGTACATGTACGATCCGCTATGTACTGCGTCTTACAGATCAGATATGGAGAAAATATGGACGAGTAAGATGCTGCCATATCTACGAGAATGGCATTCTCAGTGGGAATGCGAAGGGACACGGCAAGAAGAACACCCGTTTCCAACACACGTGGACATTGAATGGTTAATGTCGCCGGCCCAGCCGGATGGATACAGCTGCGGTGTCATGGTCGCAGCAATGACGTACTCTTTCATCTATGGCGGACGTGGGTTCACGGCCGATGCTGTAACGAGAGACGTTATTAAAGTGATGCGGTTGAGGTTGATGTGGATTATCTTATCCAGATCACGCCGTGAGCCTGTAGGGGAAGCTGAGAAAGAAGAAGCTAAACAGATAGGCAGGCAGTTGGCCAGTTCTTTCTCAAAAGGAGGTAAGAAAAAAAACTGGAACTAAGTGAAATGTATTGACTGTTACAGATTTCACTTCAAACTTCAACTCGTATTTTCTGAATATCTTGTCATACTAATCTTGGTCCGAATCGTTTGTTAAATCAATAACGCCCTCATGAGACAAGTCAATAACATTGCCTGGAGCTTTGAGCGGGGCGGGCTTGAACTTGGACAGTTTGAGCTTGGGCCGGTGGACGTTGAACACGCTGCGGCTGCATCTCGACAGGTTCGACGTCGCTGAGCGCTTCCTAATGCGTCTTGGAACGTCCCAAGGGGGCATCTTGCTTTGTTCGCTGTCGGTCATTGCGTCGAGATCACTCTACAATAAAATCCTTATAGGTGCTTTGTGCTCACTTGGTAATCTCTGCAGAGAAGTGCACCATACTATCGAATAAGAAGGAATAACGTTATTCTGTAGACGACGTTATATACGAACGACGCTAACTTTCAGCAACGTTCAAAAAGAAACGTTATATTAAAGCAACGGTAACTTGACTATAGCGGTCTTACTTGTCTTGCATCGTCTTGCAGCATTCGGCCAGTAGTACTGACAGCGAGGGGACATATTTGTCGCCCAAAGACGCCTCGTAAAACGTCAAGGAGGACAGCTCGCTCGCACATTCGATTTCTTGGTTCAGCAGATCTTTCAGCTCGCCCTGAACTGCTGCCAGCTTGCGCGTGTACTCCTCCATCTCCACTAACTTCTCCTGAATCGTTGCTATATCTTGGACTCGAGAACAAGCAAGCAGTTGCGCAAGTCGCGGGGCCGACCGCGGTCTGGTTGCTCCTTCGTCACCCGCGCTGGACTCAGCGCCTGCGCGATCCTTCATCATCGCTAAGTAGATTGTGAGATTTGTAGTCAGAGAAAATTAGGGGGCAGTTTTAAATGCTTGCTATGTCCGGGTAACTATTGTCTCTATTCTGATGAAAATCTTTCGTCGAATTTGCTCCTATTGTTACATTTAGAACACCGATAAACCAGTAGATACCAGTTTAACGTCGTTAGCGTTGCGGTCGTGAAGTTGTAAAACGATTATACAACGTTGCATTAACGCTGCTCGCTTTTGACTCGAAAGTTTAAAGTCAAAAGCGCGAGTAGCAAAATGTCAACTTGTCAACAAGCAAACCTGCAATGACTGGCATGATCCATCGCCACAGATTTGATACGTGAGCGAAAAGGGCCAAGCATGTGGGCTCGCCCGCAAACCTCACTCAGCAGGACGCCTGCGGGAAAACAACTGTAACTCCCGATCTTCGAGTTGGGGCCATCAGATATACCTCAAACAGTCACTATACTCTCTCTGGTAGTCGCGATGTCGCGCAGATAAAGCGTTCATTGGAGTTGTGTCGTTAATCAATTTGCCTTTAAAGCAGCAAGTGGTCAGTCAATTCCACAACTTCGACTGCTGCAATCTACAATGGTTAAGCCCTTCACACCATTCGCGACGTCCGTTGCCTTCCTTGTGGCGGCGGCAACTGCTACGGCCGTGCCCGATGGTTCATGGCCGGCCAGCACAGGAAATGTCCAGTACGCGGAAGCCTACGTTATCAAGGCTGGCGAGGTGTTCGATGGCAAGATGCAGACCTTCGAGCGCTCCGACGTGTCGTGTGAAGGCCAGACTGAGAGCGGGGCCGACACGGCCGTGTTCAAGATGGAACCGGGTGCCACCCTCAAGAACGCTATCATCGGCAAGAACCAAATGGAAGGTGTCCACTGTGATAAGCACGACTGCACCATTGACAATGTATGGTAGGATGATGTGTGCGAGGACGCCCTCAGCATCAAGGGCGGAACCGCCTCCAGTGTGTCCACTGTGACCAACTGCGGTGCCCGGTACGCCGACGACAAGGTGATCCAGCACAACGGATACGGTACTGTCAAGATTGACGGCTTCTACGGTGAGGACATCAGCAAGCTCTACCGTTCGTGTGGCACTTGTGGTGACAGACCGAAGAAGGTGTCGGTGTCCAATTCGTACATTGTGAACCCGGGCAACGCCATTGTGACGGTTAACAAGAACTGGGGTGACGAGGCCACGCTGAAGAACATTTGGGTCAAGTCGAGCAAGGCATCTGTGAAGGTTTGTCAGTGGTCTCAGGGCAACGCCAACGGTGAGCCCAAGATGTTGGGCAACGGTCCGTCTCCGCCTCTGTGCCAATACTCGGAGAGCGATGTTCACATCAACGAGGACATTTCTCAAGCGAAGCAGACTTCGCCGTCGTCCACTTCTTCTTCCTCGGGTGATGTCACCCAGGCGGCTTCGTCGGCCTCCACCGCCTCATCAGGTGCCACCCAGACGAGTCCTTCCTCGTCGACCGCTTCGTCGGGTGAGACCCAGACGTCTTCGGCGTCAACTGACTCGTCAGTGGCCTCTTCGGCTTCGACTGCGTCCTCGTCGTCGCAGAACCCCACTCAGACGTTTTCGTCGTCGACGACGGGTTCAGCTTCGTACCAGGCTTCTTCGAACTCATCGACGGACGCTTCGGAGGGCGACGCCCCTGGTACGGTGGCGCCCGTAGAGAGAGGCATCTTCGAGCAATCGGTAATCAGCAGTGATGCCAGCCAGACGCAGCAGCAGGACTTGACGGAGGAACCTACGGCTACGCCATCTGTCTCAAGCTCGAGCTCTGGTTCGCTATACTCGTCGGAAGAGGATGTCTCGCAGACTGACGTACAGCAGTCGAGTGTCGCCTCCAGCAGCGCCACAAACCTTCCCTACAACAACGTGGTTCTTGACTGCGGCTCGTCCACTGGTAACAACGCCGAGCAAAGTAGTCCCAGCTCGCACCCGTCCAGTGTGGACTCCAGCATTGCCACTGACCTTCCCTACAACAACGTCGTCCTTGACTGCGGTTCTGGTAACAGCGCTCAGCAAAGCGGCTCGGCTTCGCAGCCGACCAGCGTGGATTCAACACCGAGCAGAACGATGCGACTTCGCAGCCGTCTAGCTCTAGCAACGTCAACGACGAAACGCAGACGGACGTGGCCTCGAGTAACTTCGACGACGTGACTCAGGCGGATGTCCTCGCCGACGATGCGCGGATGTGACTCAGACGGATATGACCCAGTCTGATGTCGCCTCCGACGATGTGACCCAGTCGGATGTCGCCTCCGACGATGTGACCCAGAGCGATGTAACCCAGACGGATGTCGCCTCTAGCAATGTCAACGATACACCTATGACGAACGTCGTCCTCGACTGCGGCTCGTCATCTGGTAGCAACACGCAGCAGGTTGAGGTACCTACCCAGCAATCAACCTCAGCTTCGGCCTCGGCTGGTAGTAGCGCCCCCGTGCAGGAGGATCAAGTGCTGACATCCGCCCCCAGTGTTAGTGGTAGCTCATCGTCCAGCTCTAGCTCGGCTTCCAGTGTGCAAAGTTCAAGCGCCGGCTCCACCACTCAGAGCTCGGGCAGCGACTCTGCGACTCAAAACGCAACAGTGACTCGGTCTCGCAGAACGCGGGCAGTGGCTCGGTCACGCAGACTGCTACAAACGGTACGATGCCTGATGGCACGTGGCCCGCCAGTACTGGAGTCGTTCTCTACTCGAAGCCGTACATCGTCAAGGCTGGCGAGGTGTTCGACGGCAAGATGCAGACCTTCGAGCGCTCGGACATCACGTGCTCGGGTGGCGAGGGCCAGAAGGACACGGCCGTATTCCTCGTCGAAGCCGGTGGTACTCTTAAGAGCGCTATCATCGGAAAGAACCAGAAGGAGGGTGTTCACTGCGATGACAACGACTGTACTATTGAGAGCGTGTGGTGGGACGACGTGTGCGAGGACGCGCTGAGCGTTAAGGGCGGAACCGCCTCCAGTGTCACCACCGTCACCAACTGCGGTGCTCGCTACGCCTCGGACAAGGTCGTACAGCACAACGGCTACGGCACCGTCAAGATCAACGGCTTTTTCGCTCAGGAGTTCGGCAAGCTGTACCGTTCGTGTGGCACTTGCGCAGGCATTGCACGCACTGTGATTGTGGAGAACGTGTACGCCATCGACCCGTTGGTGAGCATCGTCACGGTCAACAAGAACTACGGTGATAAGGCCACTCTGCGCTACATCCACGTGAAGACCACGGATGGAAAGGATGACGTGAAGGTGTGCCAGTGGTCGCAGGGCGGCACGAAGCCGTCGAATCTGGGTGATGGCCCGTCGGGCACGTTGTGCCAGTACTCGGACAGCGACATCCACATCAACGATGAGTGATTTCGTTAATATCGTAAACGCGACGGGGGGTAGATGCGCGGGTTGAAGCGCACTCTCCGAAGTATTAGTGTTGTGGCGTTTGCAGAGGGATAGATAGCCTAATAGATGTTGTACTTCACCTTTCCTAGTTTTAATTGTCAGTACATATATACATATATATATATATATAAAGGTATTAAAATACCTTTTTTGCAGCTTTAAGAATCTCCTTTTTTTGCATTTGTAAAAACTTAAGTTACTTTTATTTGGACTAAACTACAGTAACCAATCACAAGCACTAACATTTCATACTCATGTTGAACATTCAGTTTGGGACTCAAAATGCATGTACACGTCGTAGGCACGAGTAAAAACGATTTGGCCCGTAGGTTATTGACGAGTCCAAGAACGCTTTTTACCTTTACAGCCTCCTGGTGCTAAAGTTCCGGCTGGATAATCACTAGCACTGCTTTCGTCAGAAATGCTACTCGCATCCCCCGCGACGCTACTTTCGTCGACGGTGGACTCTGGCGGATATTCAGTTGAAGTGGGTGTAGCAGTCGGGCTTTCAGCTGTAGAAGATGGGGACGTCGTGACGGGGCTTTGCGTTACAGGGGACATTGTGGCGTTCCCATTACCAGCACGAGTTCCACTGCAGTTCTCGACGTACGAAGGTTTGCCGAAAACATAGTTCTGCTCGTAGTCCTCGTTGCTTCCCTTGTACTGCGTCGACTCGATCGAGTTGGTGTAAAAGTAGAAGCATTCGTCGTTACCCAAATTCTCGTTCTTGGTCACTCGATCGCCTCCAACAAAAGTAGGGCATTCGGGCTCACTGCTGGAACCAGCGGATGTCAGCGTGATGTCTGCGCATGACACGAATTGAGGCTCGGCCCAGCCGATGTTGCCGTAGCTGGAGCCCACACCAAACCAGACCCATTGCAACACGTAGTCACCTTCATCCAGCCAATCAGGTAGAGTGATGGTATCCCCGCACGAGATCGTGTGATCTCCGCTGCTATCCCCCGCATACCGACTAGTTGAACCGTCAGCGGGGACACAGTCCGGTCCGGATTCGCGGCATGTGTAGAAGAAGACGTTGTCGTCAAAGTTCGAGGCGGTCTCACTACCGACTGGTGAAAGGGACCAGCGGATGAATCCGCCGAGGTGATTATTGCGCCAGTAGCGAACGCCAATCTCCTCACCGGGGGAGAACGGAGTTGGGGTACCGGCATTGGTTTTGGGGCAGCCTATGGTACCGTCGGTCGTACGTGGCCCGGTATCACGTGATACAGGCTTCACTAGCCACGAGTGGGCTTCGATAGAGCGAGGAAAAGAGCAGCATACGGCAGCGACGACAGCAAGGGGGCAAGATAGGAGCTTCATCGTAGAGCGGTAAATTGGATAATGAGCTCGAATCAAGGCGAGAAGTTGAATGGCTAGCTGTTACTTTAGTCACTAGAAGACGGACAGCAAAAGGGTGCGGACGAGAATCATTTCAGCCTCGGGTCACGAGGTCACCTGGTTATCATGGATCCATACGGTTGTTAATTTCTCTTGGAGACAAAGTTATCAGGTTCTATTCTTCCGGCGAGCTCGCATGACTTTGATCCACGGCAGCAAATGGTTAGATGTCTTTGCACCTTTCTCCATTAAGCCGGATTTTGACAAGGATATCGCTGTAGGTAAAGGAGTCGGTGGTCAGCACGGTGCAGTTTGAAGAAGAATGTGTCACATCGTTGGTGGTGTATGCGACTACGCTACGTAAGAGAACAGTCTACGATCCAAGCTGTCGTCGAAGTGGCTATTGAGCACGTACTTAAGCGTTTAACGGCAAGTCTAGTACTTCTGGTAGGGCTTACTGGTTTGCCTTGTCCCGTTCAAAACAGCAGCTTCGTGATGATGAACAAGATATAGCTTCGACTGGCGACGTCTCCTCTGTTTTCGTGCTCTCCGACGTGCAGCTTCATATTTCGCTGCAGCCGTCGGGTTGTCAAGAGAGGTCAAAGGGCTAACCATCGGGATCAAGCAAAGCGGAAGTTGCTCTCCCGTCGTATCTCGTAGAATGCTTCCAGATTTGTGATCTGCAGCCAAACAGAAAGAGTGACCCGTGTCGTTGTCTGACATCCCTTCGCCGTAGATCCCTGAATTGCGTTCGTCTTGTTGCAGGTGAGTAAACGCATCCATTAGCTGATACTCTCCCGGTTTGTACCAAGACGATTCGCCCGTGTTTGTGTTGTAGTAAAATGGGTATCCATCCTCTGTAAAGCTTTCGATCCACTCTCCGCCTTTGGTTGTCGTAGGTTTGGAAAGCGCGGTTTCTTTGGCTAAATGTGGGAGCGGCAGAGTGTAACCTGTCGAGGGTATACTTTGATAATCGTTGATAGCTACAGCACACTGGATGCGGTGATTACGTAGTGCAAGGTGATAGGCGCTCTCTCCATTCAAGTTGCTGATATGTGGGCTCGCTGCAGTCTCAAGTAGAGCGCGTACATTTTCAAGACAGCCGCAGCCAGCTGCCACATGAAGAGCTGTGTTTCCTTCGGTACACTGGGCGTCGATGAAATCGTCGTTTAGCATCTCACACAGGAAATGAATGACTTCAAGGCCAGTAGAACATGCGGCAGCGTAATGAAGCGCTGTCCAACCATTGTCGTCTTTCTTTTCTGGTTGTGCACCAGCATCACACAGCAGTCGCATCATCTAGATCACCGAAATGGCCAGATCTAGACTTTAGGAGTGATCAGATTTCTAAAAATGAATCCACGCACCTTAACATCACCAGCATTCGCTGCAGCGTGAAGTGCGGTAACCCCGAGAGCACACTCTAAATTGACTAGAATAAACGGGGCAGTAAGTAGCACTTTGGCCGAGTCGACGTCTCCTGATGCTGCGACTAAGAGCAGGGGACTTTCGCCACTACAAGCAGAAGTTGTTAGCGAACTAGAACCCTTTTAAACGTAAAAAAACAACGTACTCTTGATTCTGAAGATTGAAGTCAACGCCCAAGCTGACAAGTGCGGAGACTATAGCCGATGTTCTGTGTCCAAGGTTGAGACGGATAGCCAAGTGCACCAACGAGTTGCCATCGTCATCACACCGAGAAGAAGGATGCGACTTGAAGCGAGATTTCTCCAGGAGAGAGTGTAGCTTACTCACCATCACAATTCTGGTATCCTGAGCGCTGCTTTCACCAAGTAAGCAAGTAATCTCTTTGAAAACGTCATCAACAGACGAGCTTCTTTCTTCGAATGCTTGTGCTTCCATGGGCGAGTTCCGTGCATATTTGCTAAGTTCATCCAAGTATTCTGGCCACTGACGAGCATTCAGTTCCATACGATACGGACCAAGATCGCTTGCAGTATCAGACCCAGGTCTCCATTGAAATACTATCGTACGGTGGGTATGGGTAGCAATCTGAAAGCTATTTACTGGTTCATCTAGCACAATTATCTCAGCGATATCGACAAATTCGATGAAGTCGGTAGCGCTATCACTGTCGAGATCTCTATCATATCGCCACTGTAGGCGACTAAGCGATTCGTCCACTTCGCACCACACACGTCGTGCAACTCCCAGGTTCATGGTCTTCAGCCTGATATCCTCAACGTGGTCCACGGCGGAGCATTGTCGAAGGTGGTCGAGCTCGAACTCGCGATCGGACACCCAGCACACGCCACAGTGACTGCATTTTCGTGGGTAATCAAGAGTCTGAGGGACCGGAGGAGGAAGGAGGTTGTAGTTCTCTAGGCGGTTGCTTCCTTCGGATGGGAATTTCCACAGATAGCCTCCTACGGGCAGCACTTCGACGTCTTGAGCCTCCTCCTCCTTGCTATCAACTGACGAGATGACTGCATTCACCAAGAATTTCAATACGGCCTCGACTTCAGACAACTCAGCCATTGTAAAAGAAGTTATAGGTTCTAAACACAATGACGGTGGTACGTTTCACAAGCATGACAAATATAACAAAAGGTAGTTTGAACTAGGCAAATGACTGCAACTTGTTAACAAACTCGGCAGCTTTAAGCACTTGTGCACCTCGTGTCGTGAAGCTCTCGAGCGTCGAAGTCGTCTTAGAGTCCTCTGCATCGACGCCTAGCAGTGGAACAAAAGCCTCTCTCAAAACGGTGACTTGGTAGCCTCTGTCCAACGCCGTCTGCACACAAGACTCGACACTTTCCAGCACTGAAATGCCCATGACGACGATGTGAGTGACCATCAAGTTTCGTAAGATATAATCCAGATTCGTGGCCGCAAACACACTGCCAGCCAAGGAGACAACGTCAGCGTCACAAAAGAGATCACACCTACACCAGAGTAGCCACACTTACTTGACTCCTGTGCGCGAGAGCACAATGTCACTGTCGTCGTCTGGCGCTATTCGGTTGGGAACTTGAGCTCCGAATCCATTCTTTGGCACGTGGATGCCAGCATGTTTGTGCGCACGGGACCTCTCACGGCCGTCGCGTGTAGCACTCTCCACTACCGAGTAGATGACCTCCATTCCTTCGGTCGAGCGGCTAGCGAGTAGCACGTCCTGGATCGTCGGGATCAGCTCGTTGTCCACGCGATCGTAAAACTGAGGGTTCATACCTGGACCGGAAGCCTTTGTGTCCCGCTCTTCCTTGTCACCGGTTGCTCGCTTGGCCCCGTATCCGTGACGCAGCGTGAAGTAGTTTTGAACATCCAAGACCAATAAGGCTGTCGTCATCGGGCACCAGTGCAGCATCGCTAGAGTTGCTGCAGCAATGTGGGTGTTCTCTACTACTTCAAGTTCATCTTGATTATTTCCTCGACTCATATCACGTCTGCGTTCACTGACAGGACGACAACGTGTGGAGCCAGCCGAGCTGCTCTTCATTGATGAAGACGGTGACCAGTCGAACGCTAACTCGCTCGCTCTGGTGCTCGGTGTGGCTACGACACTTTCCGAGGAAGACACCGCTGCAGATCCTTTAGACTGAGATACTTTACCAAGACGATTGCGTAGCAGACTCGCTGCCTCTTGTTGCTGTTGCTTCCGCTGCTGCTTGAGTTCGATACTACGAGCGGCATTCCGACTCTGCCGTGTCGAATTCTCCTGTTGAGCCAGCACTCGCGAGGCTGTTTGAGCTCCAAGGAATCGGATAGTAAAGCTCAAGTGTTTGCGATCCAGATACGCCTCACGGATCTGCTGGAAGATGTCGGTCGACTGCGATCTAGACACCATCATGGCCGGGATATTCACCGCCTCCGCCAACTGGTCAGTGCGTTGACCTGCATCCATCACGAAGGCGTCGCCGCCACCGTCGTCGCTAGTGTTGGCTACGAGCACTGCTATTGCACCTGCTTGCTGTGCATGTAGCACCTTAGTAACGAAGTCGCATATTCCCCGTTCAAGCACCGCGATCTTTCCACTAAGCTCAAGCGCATTTTCCAATGGCATGTGGCCTGTCACCGGTTGTGCTACGACCGCCTGTGCGTAGATATCCTGACCCTCTCGAACGCCACAGGCGCCGAAATCAGCCAGCGGACAGTACACGAGTTGCTCTTGGAGCTCCAAGAAGGGCCAGAACATGGTCCTAAACCTTACTTACGTTAAAACATTGAACAGGCGGGGTTTTAGCTCGTGAGGGGACGCCAACATTTACGTGATGGCGACACTCCCTCCCGGCGCCTCAAGCCAGGCGACTAGCGCCAAGCAGTCGTCGATTTCCATGAGCAGCCATGGATTCCTGTCGTCGCCGCAAGCTTCTGACTACCTGCCCTCTATCTCGCCTACCGTCGTGTACTCTACGGCCCAAACGGCGTGGACGCAACAGGAACTACAAGTGCTACACGCCGGTCTCACGCAGTTCCCAGCCGACCAGTTCGACAACGTCACGCGCTACATTAAAATCGCCGCCACGCTGCCGCGGAAATGCGTGCGCGACGTGGCCTTCAAGGTCAAGGCGCTAGGATACCCGAGCGACCAACCAGCCGCCGCTAAGCGCATGAAGATCGAGCCGTACCAAGACTCGAACCAGTCGCCAGCTACTGCTGAACTGGAGGAAGCGCGACTGGCAGCGCTACTGCAGGACAACGTACTGGCCATCAACACAATGCGTACGAATCTACTGAACGGCAAAGCCGACGAGAACCGCGTGCAGATGCTCAAGTTCCGCGAAAACTGCGAGACGGTGCTCTCTGCGTACGTGTCGATAGCGTGTCTCTCTTTAGATGGCCATCTACTTTTTGTAAGCTTTGCTTATATCGCTCGTTGTTGTGTCTATTTCTCTGAGCAGTCTTGGAGACATCTGTACGTCCATTCCACCGTTGCCGCTTCAATTGGACACGTCGCTGTTAGAAGAAGACAACGACGATAGCAAAACCAATAGTAACAACAATAGTAGCAAAAAGAACCAGTAGTAAAAAGCAAAGTAATACGTAGCCTTCATACTTGCTCGTGTTGAAGCTGCGGTATCTTCTATCGCCTCATTACCGTCTACGGCTGTGTCGATCCCAACTGCGGCTGCGTCTATCGCGCTCTCGGTCCCGACTTCTGTAGCTTCGGTCCTCTCGGTCGCGATCACGTCCCCGACTTCTGTGTCGACCACGATCGCGGTCTGGACTTCGACTTCGTTTCCGGCGGTCCTGGCTGCGACTGCGCCGTCGACGGTCCCTATCCCCCGATTGGCTGCGTCTACGCTTCTCGTCTTCTCGTTGGGATGTGTCCGTATTGAGTCCGGAGCGTCTGTCCTCGTCCTTGGGCTCCTGTTTCCTCTTCTTCCTCTTCTTTTTGTCCTCTCCAGGCAAAGTCGGTCTCTTGGTCGCCCCCAGTCCCAGTAGTTTGTGTCTTGGCTGCGGGACGGCGCCCATATCCTCTGGATTCACGTCTCCTGCCCAGCCCATCCCCCTGAGCAGTGCCGCGCCAAAGGCTTCAACGGGAACCGACTCGTACACGTCACTGTGAACGTCTGGGGCCTCGGGGCGCAGCGCCACATCGTGCCGATACTTGTCTGCGACGTCCTGCAGCTCATCGAGACCCGGGACCGCATTCTGCTGTAAAATGGGCTTCTTCTGGCCATTTTTGGGTCTCTTGTCGCCGTCCTGGAACAGCTCGGCGCGTTTTTTCTGTCTCTCGACGGGGATCACCAGGTCCTTACCGCAGATTTGAGTCCTTTTAGCTGCCTGCGTCTCAGCAAGGATCTGGGCCGCTGCTTGCTCGTCCTCTGAAGTGCCTATTTTATCGGTTGACGCACCTATTTTATCGTCGTTTGGGTCCTGTGTGGCATCGCTCCAGGCGTTGGTCTCCAATAAGGGAATGACCAGGGGCTTTGTACCGTGCTCCGTGAGCGTTGTTGGCGCATGTGGATCGAAGTCTGTCACGAATACCTTCTCGGGCGACTGGGAAGCGGTTGTAACGGACGCTAAGAAGCCTGCAGACGCCCCCAGCGCCTTCTTCTTGCCCTTCTTGAGGGCAAACCCGCCAAGCTTCATGTTTGGTGACCAGTAGTATTTTTTTAAATTACAATTAATATAATATATTTGCTTCAAAATTAATGTACCGCATTGCTCCTGTCCTAAGCGAACGCGTTTCCAAAAGCGATTTTTTATGAAAGCCAATACCAACAAAGTATTTGTAGCATTTGCTTGCGAGCTAGCTTGCTGCAAAGGAGGAGCTAAAAATAGACCAACTGGTGGCTGGTGTGGGAAGAGCGCCTTAACTATTCAAAGATCCAGGCAATGACAAGACAGGCAGGAAGACGAGAACATATACACGCATTTCAGTCGACTACAAGCGCAAACTTGAGGTACTTGAGCGTCTTGCACAGGGACTTAAGGTCAACCAGGTTAACACAGAGCTCTACTCTATGATAGGGTAGAACTCTATAGGGTCCCTATCATCACCAACGTCGAAAGGAAAAGAAAGCAGAAGCAACTATCAAAATGGAAGGAGCACACAGGCGGTATGCGAGGAAGGCAAAGAGCACCTCGAGAGCTACCATAAGGTTGGCGCAGCAACTGTCCTCTCCACCGAGGCAGAAGAGGTCACCGTGCTGTCGGTGAACTCTGGGAGGCTGTCCAATATCAGCAAAAATGATGGAGCTAAAGGCACTCGAGGAAGCAGCAGACGAAGGGATCTCGCCTGGCGTCTTCAGCATGTCATATTCTTGGAGACGGCGCTTTATGCACCGGCACAAGCTGTCGATACGTGCACGGACTCGCCAAGGGCAAACCACACCAGAAGACGCAACATCATCAAAAGCCAAGCTCCGAGGTGATGTCAGAAGAGCTATTGTCGAGAACGATGTCTGCACCGTGTTTGACACGGACCAGACAGGTATGCACCCACCGAAAACTAAGATGATAGTACCAGCCGCTCTACTCTGATGTGACTGTATCCATAGCCATCTTCTTCGAGTATGTACTGCGGAAGGCCATCACAACGAGAGGTGAGAAAACAGAATGGGTGAAGTGCAGCGGTAAAGATAAAGAGCGAGCGACGGCAATGCTTCTAGCAGACTGGCATTGCAGCAAGATGACGCCTTTCTTGTCTTTAGAGCTGGTGTCTCTCGTCATCAACATATAAAGGACGAGAACGACGTGAAAAGAAAAGGATTTGGCGTGCGTTTGTGAAAGGACATTTCCCCGCTTCAAGACGAGCACAATTGCCGGATCTATGGCATTCCAACGGCGCGGTGGAGCGCTGATGTTTTCCTCAAGTTTCTAAATTATCACTTTGGTCATAGACTACATGAATGTTAAGGTTCTTTTCCTGTGGGACGATTTTTCAGGTCATTGGACCCAAGTAGTCATCGATTACACAGTATTAATTAATGTTGTCCTACTCAAAGTACCACCCCGATATACGTACGTGTGTCAACCCGCCGACGTAAGTTGGAATCGCCGATTCCGGTGTCGAATTTTCTGTACTAATCGCTCAAGACTTGCTTGTGTAGACGCTGGGTGGAGTGCCTTTGGTCCCAAATTGCTCGCCATCATGATAAGGAAAGGCCCCTTAGTGCCAATGCATGCAATATAAACAAGAAATTGAAGATGTGGCTAGGACAGAAATGCAGGACGTGGCTCGAGAGAAAATCGCGAAACTTCAAGAGAAGATTGAGAGCACGTCATTTAAGTTGGCAGCACTCAAACGCCAAGATATTACATCCTGGATCACAGAATCGTGGAGAGAACTTAGAGCATCGACTTTAGTTAGCGGATTCGCTAAAGCCGACCTTTTAGGTGATACCCGCAGCGCTAGAGTTGCCGAAGAGCAGGAGGAAGTTCAAGACATTGATGCAGTTCTCGACGGACTAGCCGATCTTAGCCCTGCGGGCGAGTCAGTCGACTCAGACGACGACTTTTTTTGTAGTGACAGTTCTGACGGAGACTAGCTCATATAATTTGTTTTGACCTGCATTAATATCGTAGGTAGCCAGTCAGCTTGGACACGTAGCTCAAGTGGTATGGGTTCGCATACAGTCGTGTCTATCAATTTTTTATTGGCTAAAAGCCAAAAAAATTCCACAATATTACTTGCTAAAAATTAGTTTTCAACTCACAGCTGTCAGAACCTTTTGTGTAATGCACATTGAAGTTCGCCTAGGACAGAAGCAATACGGTAGGTGTACATCGTACTTAAGCACGTGTTTAGGGTAGCATATTCTTTTTGTGATTAGCGACATACAGAAAATTAATCAAATGTATCTTGCACTTTGAATGCTGTCAGTAAGCACCTAAACTACAACAGTACAAATTTAGAAGGCAGTGATTGGCAATTTCTATTTCATTAATGAGTGAACGCCGGTATTCACATAAGGAATAGGGTAGCATTGCCATATTTAGTTATACACCACAATTAGGTGTGCCCCATAATTAATCATTCCAGCGAGTACCACCAGCTCACCACTCGCAGGGCAAGCTGCTCGAGCCGCGCCACAACAAAATAAATGGCCGAAGAAGGGGGTTGTACACTGCAACAGGTTGTTGCTGCTGCTGACGTGAGCGCTGCGTGCAATGGTTGAGAGGGGATACTTGAAAACGGTATAAGCCCCCCCCCTGGCGCACATCTGCACACTTTCCCATTCCGCCGACGGTCGGATCAGGGCCGTTCCTAATGGAGCGGTAGCCTCGTAGGCTAGTAGTTTGGCGTCTAGACGACCGCAACTGTTGTCGTTAAGAATGGAGCTGGTGGTTTGTGGTCTGGGGTTCGAATTCGCCCTCCTTTGTCCTTCGCAAACGCCCATTTCAAGATCCCGTCAATTACACACGGACCGCCGACCCCGAGCTAGTAATGCTAGCCTAGCGTCGGTGACCGTCGCCGCGCCTTTAAAAACGAATGTGTAGGCCGTGTACGCGTCCCTGCAGACCGAGGGCAAGAGTGGGTGGGTGGGTGGGTGGGTGGGGGGCTACTTCGAGAGGGGCTTCTACCAGGCGCATCGCCACGAAAGGAGGCAGCGCTGGCTACTAGGCTAGTACCGTTACTAGCTAGGCTAAGCAGCGACAAGGGAAACGATGGCGTGACTGCTGACTTCCGTCGCTGGGAATATTTGCGGGTACTTTGCCGCTTGAACGACTGCTCCCTTATAGAGAGAGTACATGTATTTATTAGGACTGTTGATCAATACATTTACAGGTCAAACATGCACCCACGCTAACCCCCTCAATGTTGAGAAAACGTTAGAAACACACGTAGAAATCTGACCAGCACAACAATGCAGGGCAGATTTGAACACAAATAGACAGAAACCAAACTGGAATTGCGTCCCTTTTAACTGCACAGCGCTTGCAGGTTGATGCTGCGCAGTACCTGAAGTACTGCTAACAATTCTGAAGTAACTGCCAAAAGTAGCATTTATTTGAAATTTCAAAGATTCTTTTGAGATCGTCATACACTTGATTCCGGAATCTCCAGCACCGCCCAGTGCTCAGCCGTGCTCCAGAAGTTGCAAAGTTGATATGGTGGGGCTTGGCGCCTCTCAGCTTCCCCCGGAGACGCTTCGCCCTGGTGATGTACTCGAGTATTACTCGCAGGAGTTTGTCTGTGGAGATCGCCGCGGGCATCGAGTGGGGATCGTCTTGAAGATCTCTGGGGCGCGCAGTGATCCGTATCCAGTCGCGCTGGACACACAGGAGACGCTTTCCCTGACGAACATGGTGCGCCGCCGCTTTGACGTCGCTCGCACCGCGCTCCTCATTGACAACGTTCGCTGGCGCAAGCTACGCTCCTTTAATCTGGTTCCGGGGGTGTATAAGGCACTAACGAGGGCCACACGCCTTTGCCAGGCCCTCAAGGCGCATCTAGATGAGACAAATGCCTCCACAGGAGCAATAGTAAACGCTGAGGGCGAGAAGAGCTCGCGACATCAACAGCTCTTTGTTCGTGAAGCTGCGAACGATCACACAGCGCCGCGACAATCCAAACCATCCAGCGTGACCGTTGTTTCGCCGGAGCTTTCACCGATCAGCCCTATAGGTGCAGGAGCGTTAGACGCAGACGTTCAACCCGAGGGTTTGGTGGAAAATACCCTCGAGAGGCCAGTACACACGGTCGTAGATCTCACAGCAGACGGCACCGACCAAGAGATTGAAGTCGATGGAACGGAGGGCGCGGAGGCGGCTGAAGGCTACGTTTGCGGCGAATACGGCTCGTTGGCGTCGCACAACAAGTTGCGGCGCATGGAGTTCGTTTCTGAGTCTGAACTCTCTGAGTCTGATGGCGACCTGGAGGCTGCAAATGAAAGAAAGGAGGTCTCGGACACCGATGTGCTGGCTGCGGGCGAGTTTGTGGAGGCTGTTCCCACACGTTGGCAGCGACAAAAGCGCAGACATCAGAGAAAAGTTAAGGCGGGACACTGGGCTGAAAGGCGTTCTCGGAAACGACGCCATCTGCGGCTGTGCGGCATGACAAGGAGCGGTATGGATATATACCACGCGCATTCCATGAAAGCGAAGAAGGTCAAAGCCATTATGCGCATTCGAGGGCTTCGAGCACGACTTCGCGAGCTTCGTTTACGGCGACCTACCTACCAAGAACCAGGTACCACTGGATATTTTCTCCTGAGGGAGGTGGCGTGGCCCAACAGCGTCCAGAACGCTAGCGAATTAGTCAATCCAGAAGGCGTGGAGTTCGAGGATGTAGGAGATTTTGGGCGATGCTCGTGCGCAGGTGATTGTTACTTCGATACGTGTAGCAATGCCGACGCAGCTCTATACTGCACACACGATTCCTGCAACCTGGATGGAAAATGTAGCAATGCACCGAGAACGTTAACCACCTTGCAGCTGTTTGATACGGGTCGTGTCGGGGTGGGTGTTTGCACAAGCACGGACCTTAGTGTCGGTGACATTATCGGCGAGTATACGGGGGTTCTGAGTGCGTACGACCCGATCGACGCGGCGGGATCTGGTCAGAGAATGAAACACAACACCGGATATACGATGCTTCTGAACACCAAGTCTCGCAGAAATAAGTACGTGTACGTGGAGGCGTTGAACTGCGGGTCGATGAT